TTTTAATGTTTCATTTTTATTTGAAATAAAAAAAGAGAATTTTTAAAAATAGAATATATATTATCAATTAAATATATAAATGTATATATATATATATATATAACGTTTTATTTATCTTATTGTTCATTTAGCTGTTACATTCAAATTTAAAGAAACAAAACGTATCACACATAACCCTAGAAGAAAAAAAATAATTTGTACTTGTATACAATTTTTCTTGTTACGTAACAATTAATAAACCATAATTATGTATTTTTTAGTTAAATGATATTAAATTAATAATATATTATTCATAATTTATGCACTTATAATACAAGAATGTATTTTGATCTTAAGATTTCCAGAAATCAATTATTTTCTTTTTACAAAAGTTTATAGTCTTAAAGATATTCCACGAAAAAGTTTTTTGAAAAAAATAAAAATTGGATATGCAAGATAAAACAATACATAGTGCATGGGGCCGCTTATCTAATTCAAATAACGCTCCAATTAGCCTGCCTTGTAAAACAAAAATTAAAACAAATGTTATATTTTACATCTACATTATATGTATTTATAAACTTATTTTATTTCTTAAGTATGTCTAAATGTATATTTATAAAAATTATTTTTAAAAATACCTTTGAAATCGGCTCTTAAAATTTCCTTAACTAACTTAATTTAATTATTTTAAATAATATAATAAAACCGAAATGATTTGCACAAAAAATTATGATTTAATATTTATTCAAAAGTTTGCGGAAACTTTTCTTTTCACCAAAAGTGCAGTATAAGAAACAATTGCCGGAAATTGTTTCCAGTACTTACCGGAGTTGCCAGATAGCACGAAAATAACGCATGACGTGCGATAATATCTGTGGACGTCGTTGATCAGTCGGAAATAATTGTTAATGTCTATTCCTTCCGTCAGCGATTTACCCAACATAAAGAAAAGCATCGCTATCGTTTGCGCTGTCGTGTACTTCATTTTGCGAAGCACAAGTTTGAAAACGTGTGCGACTTAGTGAAATATAAGTACGATTAAGATTAAAATGATTACTGAGTAAAAAATAAAAGAATAAAAATCTATTTTGTCAATTTGAGCACTGTTATGGTAAAACAATTCACAATTAATTCGGAGCGAGTAATAATGATATAGATGCAATAAAATTGGTAATTTTACTTCAAAGTTCTAAAAACAATAATGAATCGCGTAATTCTTTGAATCTGTCAAAAGTATGATTATCGCTGAGCCAAGAATTAAGGAAAAAAAATAAGGATACCCGCGACTCAAAGATGCAGATGCGTGACTGAAGGATTATCGCAAATGTGGATTTATCGACCTAGGGGATAGGCGCAAAAGAATGTCACCGGAAGATGTGGATGTACGGCAATATTATAAATTACATAGGAATATGTAACAACACGATTTTTATCAACGGACCATCGACAAAACCGGTAAATTATACACCGTTCCACAATGATCGAAAGATGGAAAAAAGGGGACATAATGTGTGCAGCTGTCATAGAGTCCAACTTTTTATAGCAACACTGTGTATTCACCAAGGAATAATTGTATAAAGTTAATTCTTTAATAATCCACTTAGTTTTCATTAAAAATTGTTACGACGAACTTATATAAATTAGTACAGAGTAATTATTGCGCGATCTAATGTTATATTTATATAAGCTTAATTTTGATTTATGCTCATATTTACACGTATATATAAAAATGTATAAACAATTTATACAATAAGACCTTGCGACTCGACAACTTTTGCATCATTTTTTGACTTCAAACTTATCTTGATATATTTAATGAAGAAAGAAATGAAATAAAGAGAAAAAAGGAAAAATTGAAAAAAATTACATTAAAAGATGTAGAGATTTGGAAAACTTTTCTTGTTTCTTTTATCATTTATTTTTTATTATAAACTCGAAAATAAAAGATCAGAAGTTATTAAAAAAGAGATTCAAAAGAGCTTGATTTGTAGCAATTCTATTAATTTTTTGTATGTAATTTCTTCTGTATTGCCTGAAACTTTCCGAATTTACAACTGACGTTCTTATATCACAGTTTTCATTTATATTTTCTTCTACCATTTTATGAATGGATACACACACATACGAGCAATTAACACCAACAAATTTATGAATGTCTATTTAAAGATGTCAAACTAATAAAATCTTGATAAAAATTAATAAAATCTTTAAATCATTTTTTTCTATAACAATGTAAAACTTAATAGGATTCAATCTTTAGAATAATTAGAATACAGAAGAATGACCGCCATATTGAATACACTATTATTACATATTTAAAATAAGCATTTTTCTTTATTTAAAAGGAATGTTATAATGCGGAGAAAACTTGGGTTTGGAATTTTCAGATATAATGTATAAGAACCGTATTATTTTAATGCTTCCGGGAAGAAATGGTATGAAATAAAATTTGTCTGCATTATAAGCTTTAAGTAATTTTTCATATGAATGTTATAAATATACTTTAAAAAATCAAACATTTCTTATTACTTATAATTATTAAAATTATTAATTTAAATTGACTATCACAGTAAAAAATTTTTATCTTTGTCCGCGCTGTAACATATAGTTCGCTCCACTGTGAATAGTTAAGCTGTCCCTAATCATCATTATACCTATCCGTGTATCATCCACAATGCTGATATATGGCATTCAGGTGTTTTATAGTTTTCACAAATTGATGCATAAAGATCAGTGCAAACTTAGGTGTGCATGTTCTCGCAAAAAGAATGTGATGTTGAGCAGAAAAAGAAATCTTTGTGATACCGAAAATTTGAACATTTAAACTGTTACAGCTCGGAATGCTAATTTGAATGATTTTTAACAAAAATTAAGCCAGTATTAATAGGAATGTTAAAAGCAGAAGAATAAGAAGCTTTAGAAGGCTCTTCTTTTGCAAAAAAATGTCTCTTAATTGTTATTTTATTTTAGTTTTAGCACGCCGTAAACATAATTCGTTATATAATAATTAGAATAATTAAAATGTTTATCATATACATTAGATTTAAAATTCGAATTTATTATTAATATTAATATCTGAATATGTTACAGTATATATATTATTTACAAAATATAAAAAAAGGAAAACTTTAATTAAAAAATTAGTTAATATAATTAAAAATTAAATTAATTAATAACAATTAATTATTTTAACCCAACAAACACCAAGTTACGCGTAACGTACTTAATGGTTACAATTTCCCACATATGTCTTATATTATAATTATGTTGTTGAGTGGGAAATTACAACTAATAGGTACATACATTACAAGTTGGTTGGTGTTTACTGGAAAATTTACAAGCTCAAACATATACAAGTATACATATATACACACGAATAGAATTTTTCTGCTAATAGAGAAAGAAAAAAGAAGAAAGACGAAGAAGTTCTCTCGAAAGAAAGATATCTGTTAATTTGTTGTAAATTAAATTGTAAATTTCATATCACTTTATTATAATACTTTTTGATAAATATATCTTTCTGACAAGATAAAAGACTCTCGATGAGTTTTCTTCTCCTCGATCGATAATGAAATTTCTCTATAATCAGTACCTCGATGCTTATGGTATAATAAAGTCCCCGCAAAAAATCGCCAAAATTAGGATGACGTTAATCAAGCAAAACGGTTCGTAAATCTTGCTTCAACTGACTGCAGCAAGAAATTACGTATTCCTCAGACGTATTATGTTGTCCAGGAATTTTTTATAATTCATTAAACTTATGGAGGGGTTTAAATAGGATCTTCACTAAGTTGCCTATATATTTTCTCTATGCTGATACCCGACAGCTTGCAGGATATCTTTACTTCTACTTTTCTTCAGAGCGCATAGCGCCATACAAGCAACCTTTCTTCTCTCCTTGCTAAAACTAAATTAGTAGCAAGTAACTGATTATGAAAAATGTCAAGCACTCTAAAGTATACTCTAAAGTAATCATATTAATTAGGAAAAAGTAATTTTATAGAAATAAAAGATTATTCACCAGCTATGTCGTTTAAATTAATTTTGCTTTGCATTCCTTTTGATGTCGAGCGTAAAAATACGAGTTATCGATCGTAATTACATAATGCCCTCGATCAGATCCCTCGACAGTCTATGTGTTCGTTCTTCATTTCATCAGTTTCACCGAGAAAGACTTTGTTGACGCCTTGTACTTCGTTTGGAATTGTCGCGAAAAATTGTCTTGTGACACAAAACTCTTTTGTCGTTCCTTACGCGTCAACGATACATTACAATAAACACTAAACGTGATCGTAATTCCATATATTACCGGATGCAACGGTATGACATAACTTCGATCGCACGAAAAGCGCATGATCTGAAAGTGAAACCCGAGCTCCTTAAACCTGCAATATTCCTGAATAGTATACGTGTTGTTATCAATACCGCCGTTAGAAATATTGTGAAGTGCTCAGCGACGAACGTTTCGGAAACACTCTGGAGGAAGAAATTTAATTATAACATCGATCAACTTTTGAAAAAAAAAAGAGAATAGAATTTAATTTCAAACTTAATTCTTAATTAAATAGAATTCAGTAATAGGCTCCGAGGAATAAATCAAATATAGTAAAATAATTGCCAATGGGAGTCGACAAGGGTGTTGGTGTGTAAAATTTTTATTGTTACAATATCCAGCTAACACACAAACTGCGGTAATTACAGAGAATATTATTGTATACCTCGGTGGTCGAATGGTAGGACGCCCGTATTCGAAAAAGTTTGATGAGCACAGCTAGTTGTCCGATATCTTTTGTAAATCAATTCAAAACATAATACCTTATTTCTAAAATCAAATATTAAAAACAAACCGCTCGACTTAAATTATAGTCATCTTCACAATAAAATATTGTTTTATTTTTAATTACAATTTGTAAGTATTGACAATTAAATTTTATTAAAGCAAACCATTATATAACTATAAGTGTCATAAATTATAATAGTATGAATAGTTTTCAAAAAAATTGCTAAAAATAATAGAATAATATAATTATATAAAAAAATTGTCATAAATTTCAATAAATAGTAAAAAGATTGACTAAAATCTAGTTCCACAAAGATTAAAATATTTCTAAATTGTATAATACATCAGATCTTTATTTCACTCTTATTCTTATGCATGAGAATTATAAAAAAAATATAATTATGTGATGTTTAAGTTAATTATGAAAATTGTAAATTCATATACAAAAAATCCTTATAAAATTTATAGCGGTTCATTCATTTATTGTGGCCAATAGTCAATCAATCTATTATAAAATCCTTGAAATTGTAAAATCTTCTCGTTGTAATCCCTTTCACAGATTATTCTTTACGCTAAGATTGTAACTCAATTTTTTAACAGATGATTTCTTGTTCTTAGATCGAAATTTAGACAAATAATACATTTTTTCGATTATCAAAATAAATAGTGCCAGAACCATACTGCCCATTATCATCGTCAGAACCGGCGTTACATCATTTATATCGATTACATAATAAGTCATCTTATTCGAGGGATTTTTTGCGAGATACTTGTCTCGCAATTTGTTCATAACGCCATTACTCTGAAATCGCTGCAAGCTGAAAAATGCAAAAATATTTAAAGTATTTATTTTTTTAAAAAGAAGAAGCAATTGTAAGCGATTTAATCTATATTCTTTGTAAGTACTAAATTATATTAGGTATAATTATATATAAATATTACTAATTATATATAAATAAATTACTAATTATATATAAATATTATTTTGTAAGTAATAAATATGTAAATAAATAAATATGCTTATAAAACTTACTGATAATTTATAAAGTCAGTGTAAGGATTTCCTTTTGATAGCGTTATCCCTATATTTTGGATTCTTTTGGTATCAATGTATACAAGGTTACATTGTATATACATGTTGAAGTGTTCTTTGACTATTTCCGATATGTAAAATGCCAAGTTCTTCTGCTGGCAGATCTGCGTAAGAATTGACGTGAATCTACTTAATAAAACTTAACGCCGTTAATGTTTTTAATTAGGTGATATCGCTAACTTGCTTGAACCCGTCCAGTGGTAATTCCGGTAAAAACTTCTTTTTCTCCAATAACTTATACATTTTTAAAAACACTGGATCTTTGACATGCTGTAATATCGGAGAAAACATATTTTGAATGAAAAGATGCCGTGTTTTTTTCAATTTTGTAGTTAGAATGGAATGAACCCTTTACGAACTCTTGCACTAATAATACTTTATATGAGAATATAAAAAATTTAAGAATAAAAATATATTCTCTGCAAATACAAAATTAAGTTCTCTAACATTTAAAATTATCAAATTTTCTAAAAAATTATTAATTTTACTATAACTTTATGTGTAATATTATACCGCGTAATGTTAAAACTTTTCAAATGGTTTCAGCTCTATTTACAAGATTGTTTTTAGTCGCAAATGCTACGAATGAAAATTCTGCAACTAACAAGTCGCTGTTATAAGCAAAGTAATTTCTAAACTTTAAATAATGGTGGACTCACACCAGGAGGCTCGA